TAGTCTACAGTACTTTTCCATAAAGGTTAATACGGACCCGCCACTACTAACGATTAAGTGGCGATACTTCTGCTGAGACTATTCAAACATTCTAGCTCTGCCCTTTCGAGAACAATCCTTTGTTTTACATTTATGTTCTACTTTACTCTTCTGTGGGTTTCCCCATCAACAAGCTACATTTGCACAAATTTAGGACTATCTCCTCTTTCCTCCCCAAGTACTCCTGGATGCGCTCTAGTAAAACACAAAATAAAATCTACTGATCAAGACAATTCTAAAGCTGTCAACATATTTTGTTCCCTAACTATATATCCAAATCATCTCAAAAGTATTGTAGTCTTCTCTCGGAGTTGATAAGCCATTTAATGTATTATTCTGGTGACAGACAAGCTGGCGTTTGCTACAAGCATTTTTATGATTCAGTAGTTTTCGGAGAGACTAGAAAACTAAGCAGCAGATTTACAATATAACAAAATAAAAGCAGAGATCTCATCCGCCTGATGAATGACTAAAGCAGCTTTCATCTGCGGATTTTCAGCTAGTTTGCCTGAAGGTGGAGAACTTATTGTTTAGGACCTGATAAAGCCACCCTCAGGCTATAATCAAATGGCATGTGTTGAAGACTGTACACATGCGGAAGGTAGAGAGACTGTTAACTCTGTGGTGGTTTCCATCTAAGCAAGACATGTAAGCGCAATAAATCTGAAAGAAAAAAAGAGACACAAGGAAAAGAGAAATGCTGTATGCATGTATATGGGCTAAGCAGCACGTATGCACCCGCAGCTGTGCCTGGCTGGCCGCTCTGCTGGCTGGCTCTTCGGTAAGGGAGCCACAGCAGGTGTGATTTTTTTCAGAAGGAAATAAATGCAAGGACAACCGCAGCTGAAAGACCATTACGTACATAAAATCTGGCATCAGCTGGCAGGCAGGTATAGTATTACTGGCTGCCTTATTCCTTAGCAAACAGATATTAGTTAATGCTTCCCTCTTGGCCAAGCAATGAGTCAATGGTTGAGATGAGGGGAGAGCTCTGGCCTCTTCACTTCCATTCTCCACACCTGACCAGAGATGATGCCAGCTGTCCTTCAGCAAAGCCCAACTCCAGGGGCCAACTTCAGTAGCAAACACTTAAGCCGTGTTCCATGTGGGAGTCACATTTCACTCATGCATTTCAAAAAGACACAACTGCTAAGAACACGGGTGCCCGACTCCTGGCACCAAGGGCCACATTCAACCCACCTTCCCCTGAAGGTTAACCAGGCTGTTCTGAGCTGAAATGCCATAGGGGGTGTGAGAGTGATGGAAAATTCATTCCATCCCAGTACCCTCGTATTCTGCCTCTCCATCACCTCTGATCTTTCATCTCCCCCTGCTAGGATTTCATCCGTACCCTATCAAAAAGCACACAGAAGTCAGTTCCTCTCCCTACAAAGCAAATGGCCATGAGGACATGAGGCACTGTCAGATGTGAACTACATACAAAGTCTTCTGAGGCCAGTGGGAATACTGGCCAGTGACTCCATTTTCTATGCATAGGCATTTTGGTGCTTTCCATATGATTTTTAAACCGTGAGTAATGCCAGCTTCCAAAGACCTGTCCTATATTTGAACCTTGCTCACAGTCTTCACTTGCTTAGCTGTGAACATGATTTTAACAAAGCCATTTCAACCTCTTAGTTAATTTGTTTCTGAGGCCTTTCTGAGTGTGTAATTAAACTAAAAGAGCTGGAAAAGCCCCTTACAGTAAATAATTTACAAGTTCCTCCCTGGGGACATTTTTTAATTATAACTCCACTGGTCAGATCTTACCGAATACTCTGAGATAGCATTCCCTGCTGAGATCCTGAAATATAATTAACTTATTCCTTTGCTAATGTTGTGTGGTTTGGTTTTTTTTTTTTTTTTTCCCTTAGCCTATCCATTTCTTATGCAGGGCAGGCAGATTTGTTTATAAACAAAGTAGAGATTGATAGACGCTTTGTCATGAGAATAGCAATAATGGCATTCACTGCAACAGACGGGGGCATGTCCATTTGAGGAAAGATGATACTGTTTTGAAGCAATTTTTATAAATCCTACCCTGACAATCCAGCATGGAGAGATACAAGAGAGCAACCAGACAGCCTCGATTCCTCTCCTTCTTGGCAGCCTGCCTTGCTCCCCAAGTGCCATTTTATGCATAGCAAACGTAAATAATTCTGACGCACCTACCAACCCCCTAACCTTTGTGCTTTGGAAACACAGCTATATACTATCAAACTGACAGTGATTTCATGTTATGTGGCAAAAAGAAAAACCCTGAGCGACAGCGGCAAGGCTGGGAATGTCAAGTGAAAGCTGTCACATTTATTTAGCTCCATGATTCTCAAGACAATATACATAAATATTGTTTTACTATCCCCACCAGCCAAATGTTAAGAGCTATCTGCATCAGCCAGGGTCCTGCGGCTCCCCCAGCCTGGCCGATGAGCCTGTGATGATCTCCTCCTTACCCAGGAGAGGCTGGCAAGAAACAAAGCACCAGTTCTTTTTGGTCCAAATGACACAGTATGTTAAATAGTTTCCTCATCCTTTCCCACTGCAGCTGTAGCCAGAAGGGCAGTTTGGAGTGAAAGCAGGAGAGAATGGCTCCATGATGTATTGAAATGTGATTGCCCAGATAAGAAGTTTGGGACACTCATTGCCTCAAGTCCTAAAAGCCTTCAAAGCTCGCTTGCTTTTCCTATACCAATTAGTTCCAGCAACTCCAGATAGCCCACAAGGACAAAGGTTGGTGCCTATCCGTGGCTGTGCTGGAACGGGGGCCTGTACTATGCATCCAAACTCTTGGTTTTTACTTTCCTCCCCATTTTGAACTCCCACACAGTCAAACTTATGACCACATCCTCGCTTCTCTCCAAGCACTTTGTTTCTGTACAGTTGTTAGTGCTGGCTCTGAAGTCTCTTCATCATCATATGCTGGCCTTTTTGTACACAATTGTTCACCTGGTATCATCTGTAGCGAAATACATATGCATCAAGCTAGCCCTTATTCTAGTGAATAAATCAAAGCTCAGATAGCAAGATCAAGAGCTAATTCAAAGGGCTGTAAAGTGTTGTGACTAAACTCGTATCTAATTGAGCAAACAATAATAAAAGCAGAAAAACCCCTCTTATATAAAGAATGCCTCAGAAAAGTTAAGCCACAAGGTGCAGAGTTTTTGGATAAAAAGTTTGTTTTCACGGTAGCCATTTGATCTATGTGGCACAAAGCATCCTAATAAAACACAGTTCAGAAAATTAGTATTCAGCTTTAAACCAAACACCATGGCTTCCTCTCATCTTGAACATAGCCAGCAAGAGGCATTAGCCTCTGATTATGTTCTGTTGTGCTGACACGGCCTCTCAATTTTGTGTCTGAAGTAGAACTGAAGCAGCACTCACGCAGTCACGCCTAGTGCCACACTAACCAAACCCACGTAAACATGTCTCAGGATCCCAGATAAACCTCCATGCTTAAACCTTGAGGCAGGACTCCACTGAAAGCATCCACTGGCTTTGGTGGGGTAGAAGCAGGTAGCTTGTTGGATGGGGCTGGACTTAATATCCACATTTAAAACATCTGTCAATCAGATTTGGGATCCAGGTTTCCGCTGTGAAAATTACTGGCTTCAGCGTAGCTTTGCTGATGTCCGTGGCAGGCCGTGCCATACGGCACAGTGCTGAGCCTAATGCGATCGGTGAACTCAAACAGCCTTGCAGACAAATCTAGAAATAGGTCTGTCACACACAAAGCCTGCCCCATCTTTTTTGTTGTTGTTGCTGTTGCTTTCCATATGCGAACAGAGGTTCAGAAATGAAGAATAAATTACTGCCAGGAGAGACATTGTGGGAAAAAAAGGGTCCAATTTTCTCACCACATCTATTCCCCAAAGGTCTTGAATCTTAAGAGCATGTCTCCCTTCTGCCAGGCAGCACAGCTGGCAGCACTGCCGAGCTGAGAGGAGCTGGAGGACGTTCCACCGCACGCACCAGCCACTGACACCGTCATCTCAGCTTCTGTTCACACAACCCTTCGTGATACACGAACACATCTTACTCTGCATCTTTCATTTGGTGCAGTGAAATAGTCTGATAAAGAACTGATCACCATCGTTTTACTAAATAGCCCACATTGCAAACTGCTACCAGCTGTCTTGTTCAGGTTGCAGCTTTTCAGTACGCACTGGTGGGAAGCCCAGCAGGCCAACACTGAAGGTATCTTCACCCCAACCAGATGGAGCTTTGTTAACACAGGATGGAGAAGCACCAGGGAGCACAGGCCAGGGAGATCTGAGGTGCTAAGCTTATGTTCAGCCCACAGCAAGAGGGTTTAATTAGTTACTGTATTAGCAAAATGGAAATAAAACTGAATATAAGCATTCTGAGATGAAAAGGTTCATACGTACTGTAGGCATGATTTTGTTCACAAAAACAGTTATCGTTGAGGAAGTCCTAAGGTCACTCTGCTCCACAGCTGGTTCCTGAGAAGTCATGGATTTTTTTAATGATGACACGGAGTAGTTTGGTGAAAATAAATGTATTGATTTATTGATTGATGTATAGGAAAAGCAAAGTCATGCTGAAGAAGGAACACAAAATTTTGACATTTTGATTGATCCTGATTGGAAACACTGTGTCCTATTACTATGAGGACAGAGTGCAGAGGAAAAGTCACTATCTTCTTCTTGATTTCCAGGACAGTTTGGAGAACTGGAGAACAATGTTCCACCCAAAAACTTAATCCATAAAACCTGCTCTCTGCAATTCTTAGCATCTCTATCCTTGAACAAAGTACCCATACTTCACACGGTATTTGGGGACATTATAAACGGCCCATGTACAAAATTATAGAACTTAAAGTAATTTTGAATATAATTTTACAAAACAAGAGCTGTTTTTCTCCAGATGGAGAACTCACTGACCGCATTTTAGACTACATTACAATCTTGTATTCAGATAAAGAACCATATACCAAAGCCATGGGCATGAACCTTTTTTTATTTATTTTATTTTTTATTCCTTTATTTTAAGACACCTTCAAGGAGTCAAGTGAACAGTCAAAATTATTGTATACACTAAAATCAATTAAGGCTTTTCTCCAATCACCCTTTTTTCCCCAGCTTACTATAGGACTTACTGGCAGTTTCTTGTTTTGCTCATAGATGCACATAATATTTAACTACTAAGAACTTCTACCATAACAAGTATCTAATTCCAGAATGGATCAGGAACTGTGATTAGTAGACAGTTCACTTTTAAACTGGAATAATAAAACTGTTAAGTATTGAGCAGCTTGTTCCTCAAAAGTACGATGAGAAGAAATGGTCCTCACTGTAATACAGGCACACATTCTTGTTTCTTTTGATTGTAGAAAAAGAATTCACACCAGATATTTGCTAATTAGAAGCAAATCAATGCAATCCTCACTACTTTTACCACATTTACACTGGGCTGTTTTTTTGTTCAAAGACAAACAGTGTATTTTATTGCTCCCAAAGTCATATATGACTATTAAAAAGTCACAATTGATGGATCTGATGTCTTTCGTTGGTCACTCTGAAGGTGGGCTGGTATCAAGATACTTTCAGCAGTCTTCATAAAGAATTTCATCTACTTGGACATCATTTTCTGCCACAGGCACTGATTCACAAATCTGTTCCCTAAAAGCCAAGGCAATTGTGTAAGGCTTTCCACTGGGATGTTTCATACATCTGTCAAGATAGGTATCATAATATCCTTTCCCTCTTCCCAGTCTGTTGCCTTTTTTATCAAACCCAAGGCCTGGCATGAAGATAAGGTCAAGACCTCCTGTAGAAAAATGAAATAAACATTAGTCAATGCACTATGGATTTCCTGATGTCTTGACTACATAACTGCAGACATTTGCAAAAATGCAAGCTTCGTGTTTTGCAAAATGCTTCCCTCTCTTTGATCAGATGAAAAATACTATGAATACTAAACCTGTAAATATACATTTTCATCTTATCAATTGCATACTAGATCAGCTGCAAAATAATTATATCTTGAAAAGCTACAAGGAAAAAAACCTACATTATAATAAATTTATTTTATCATTTTAACCCCAAACTTCCAAATACTAATGATTATAACTCTAAATCTAGGCAGAGACTGAACTCAGGGAAATTAAATGCAGGAGGAATCAGAAAATCAAATGAACTTCAACATCAGACATAAAAATAGAAAAAAAAAAAAGATGCATAAGAGAACAGAAAGCATCTTCTTGATGTAACTGTAAGATGTCATGAACCTTCACTCAACCTCCCAAAACCAATGAGCCTTGAATATAATATATTCTGAAAGTGGGTATTTGCCCTCTTATATCAAGATGTGAAGGCTTGTCTCTTTTAATGTCAGATTCCTCTTCTCCCAACGGAGAGAGCCTCCCAAATTTTCCCCAAATTCCTGAGCCTCCAGCAATTTCCACTGTTGCTCCAGCAGCACACACACACACATTCTGCTTGCCTGCCCAGAATATCCCTCCTTCCGGAGGGATGTGTGGGGTATGGGCTCCCCAAGACTCTACTGAGATTGCACTTGACTGGAACTCAAAATCAGTTAAAAAACTGACACAAGCTGCATAAGCTGCCAATCATCTGGACAGAAGACCCCACCAACCAGCTCCTGATAAAAATCCAAGATCAGCTAGGCCCTTCTTTCTTGCTTTGTTCATACACTGCAAAGGGCTGTGGATCAGCATCATGCCAGGTAGCCAGCGACAATTTACACTGGGCTGCCCACTTGTTTCAGGAGTTGATTCACATCACTGCCAGGCAGGCAAAAGAAACCGGCTGCCACGCTGAGCGACCGCCAGGCATGGAGGCAGCCAGCACGCACACTCCCATTATTTATGCGAGACTTGTTCGTTTACTGTGACAAGTCTTGCAAGGATGTCCTCTAAACAAATGAGCTTTGCTGGCCTGGTGCTGACCGCTGAACCCAGGAACATCCCACTTACTGGTGTCACAACGCAAAGAAAGGCTTTCATTACTTGCTGCTGTAGCAGACAGATACTTAAGGAGAGAAGGGCAGGAACGTTAGTGGAAAGACGGCGCAGACTAAAACACAGCTGATATGAGTATGGAAAGAAAGCAAATACTGTGTCGCAGTCCACTGCTTCTTCCTTTTTATAGGAATGGTACTCAGCCTTGAGCAGCTTTTCTGCAACTGGCTTCTGCTCCTTCACCAGGGCTAGGATGTGGCAGGTATTTTTCCGCTTTTCCTATGTCCAAACCTACTCTCTCCTGCCGTTTTGGACTGAGCTGCTCTTGCTACATCTGGCTAAGGAATGATGCCCAGCATTCAAGGAGATGTGTGGGAACATGTACCGCAGGAACCAGAGCTAAGCAGAGTTTTTCACTTTCCAGGGTATCCCATCTGAGATCACATATCGACTGAACTAACTGAGCCTGAAAGAGCACGTTAAAAGTTCACATAAGACCAGCTCATTTGCACACCCTTCCCAGGCTCCTGGGGATTTCCTTCCACTGTTCACTGTTCAGAGAAAATTCACTGATGTGAACACTCATCCATCATGACCTGATGACTTAATTAGAACACTGATATAAAATATGCAAGACAACACAGTGTGAAACGCTTAGAGAAGATCGATCTTGCAAATCTGGCATCATACAGTTAAGAAGCATGGCTTTTTTAAAGAGGTCAGGGGAGTAAGAGGAGGGAATTAGCCAAAGGGCAGACCACAGAATGTGTGTTTTACCACGCTGTAGTCAACTTTTGACTCACAGGACAGACAAATGGCAAAGAGGAAAAGAGGCACAGGGGCAGAAGTATGGTCTCACTGAAAAGACATGCCATTGCTATGGTATCACCATGTACATCATGTTGGATGTATCATGTCACATCTCCTCAGTTTGCAAGTAGAAATACATATTTGCCAATTGTCAGGCATACGGATTAGGACCTAGACACCAGCTGATCATCTCCCCATTAGCACAGTCAGTAAGAGATTCTGCAGGTCAAGTCTTCCCAAGTTACTCCTGCGCTCATTACTTACCCTCTCCACAATTTGCCTCACATCAGCTTTGTGTAGGTATTCAGTGGGCCCAGAAACCAATATGTGCCAAACACTAATGATGCACAGAAAGAAATAAACTCTGCCTTACACTTTTTTTTTAGCTGTTTTCACTCCATGTGGCTCTCACGGCAAAAAGCAGGAGACATTTGCAGTCACTATTGCTGGCAGGTAAGAACGTACACAAGGGGCAAATCTGCAGAGTAAAAAGGTGCCATTTCTCCTTACGTTTGTGTTACAGACAGGAAGCAGACAAGTCAGGGGGAGCACTAAGGAAAGAGGGAAGTGTCAGGAAAGAGTGAAAGGAAGAAAGATATTTTCGATGTAGCTTAACTGATAGCACCCGGCACACTCGAGTGAATTTAGATGTATTAAAGTACTGTGTTTTCTCCTGGGTTCTCTGGAGAAACAGAAAGTGTTTTAATGAGTCAGCTCCTCTATAATCATGGATTTTTTTATGCTGAATAACTCGAACAAGTTTGTGCAAATCTCAATATGAAAAATTATGCTGTAAGTACTGTAATAGTTACCCTTCTGTTTTTCTTCTACTGGAGCACTGTGATACCGACTGCCTTTGTTCTGACTCACAACACACTGATATCCATGCAACTCACGCTGCACAAGATTTAAGTAAAACGCCAAGCAAAACTTTCTGTAGAAAAATGACACAGCTACCCTGCAAGGAGCCCGAGGGCAGCTCAAGCAGTGTTAGCCCCAAATCCTACCCTAGGATCTACAATGAATGGCAGAGAGCTATATGGAGAAAACACTTCCCCGCCACATAACTCGGGGAGCAACAAAACCTCTTGTGGTGCCTGCGGCAGCGTGGGGGAAGAGCTGTCACAGGATGAGAGGTGACACACAGATGAGACCAAGATTGCAGACACATGAGATTACTATCAGCAATGAGAGTACATCAACAGGATGGCAGGTGAGGGTAAGAACATCTTACCCTCTTGGCACGGCACCCTCATGCTCCCAGCCCTTCCAGCCCTGCAGGACATTGCTGGTCACTCAGGATGTCCTGCAGGCTTGTCTGTTCTCACATCCTACTCCCCGTGCTCCCACGGACTGCTGTGTGAAACGTCATCCTTGTCCCACGGAAGACAGAGCAGATATTCGGGTGTCAAACACCACATCAGCTATTAGTGCCTTGTAAAACATGCTAATGGAGGTCTCACATTTGACACCTACTTCTATCCCTTTCCTTGTGATGTCCATTGTCCCCCAGGTGTCTGAAGTCATTAACTAGTGGTTCTTGGATCCCTGAGGGTCCTGTGACTGCATGCCAGGAGCCCAGGAAATCATACCCACAGCCAAGAGGGTTTTGCTATAGGTAATATTTCTTTGCTTCTCCTGGAATACTTGCTTGTGGTCTGCAAATTGCTAAAGGCTGAAAACACTGTCTCAAGCCACAATGTACTGTTCCAGCTTCTATGTAGAGAAAATCCGTGTTTCTTATACACTTTAATTAAGCTACTGGGTATCCCGGTAAGGTTAGCAATTATGATGACAGTCACCTAATACTCGCTGTATCTATGTCACAAGCTCTTATGGCCACAGCTCAACTGTGTAGTACCATGCGTGAAATAATACACCCTGAATTATCTATCAATGTGGGCATACAGCCATGCTGACACAGCCACACAGGTTTCATTTATACAGCTAAATACAGCAGAGCCAGAAAACAAATTGATTTACAGGATCACAGGTGGTCAATACTGTTGAATTGTCAGCACACTGTCTGGCACTGCCAGTCCAAGTGACACCCACGCTGGCTCCAGGGGACAGGATTCCCATGGGCAGTAAAGACAGAAGAGTACAAATCTGGCTCCTTTGACACTGTGCAGTCCTCCTACACCAGCAAAACTGGTTTTCCTTCTCCAGACACAGGCTTTCCTGCCTCATGCCAGAATAAGCAACACAAACCCTCAGACTGATGCTACAAAAATACTGCTGCGATGGTCTGCCACAAGGCATCATGCTATTAAAGATACTACGAACTGGGGAAAAGATAAAAAAAACAGTATTGCCTTAGGGCGACAGAGGCTTCACGTGAGACCAAAAAAAAAGAAGAGACAGACCAAGTTCTCTGTGTCGTATGGCCCTGTGTTATTTAGCAGTGTAGATACAGTCACAGCTTCAGAACCTGCCATGTGGGTGTACAGGCACACTCTGTTTGCACTGACTTGCGTACATCTATGCAGACATACCTTATGTCACAGAGAAGTGAAATGACTTGCCCAAGGACTCAGGAAATGTGTGGCAAAACTAGACACAAAAGGCAGGTGTGCAAACTGTGCTTCCCCTGCCTTAACCAGCAGACCAAAACACTAGCTTACCCTCTCTGGTGGTTTAAATAGGAATACCTGGTTTCGCTTCCTCCGGGCAGCTGTGGTGAACCTCCTCGGTTCCGCAGTGCATTTCTCATTACCCTTCATGATCATATCAGGTTTGATTTTGTTCCCCAGGGAAGGATTTTCTTCTTGCACCTCATTACCTCTCTTCTTCTTAATCTGATGTTCCTATTTGAAATGTCAGCCGGTATATTCAGAAGTGTTCTTGACAATGGTTAATTATAGAAGAGTCCATCAAACTGCACAGACACAGGTCATGTAGTAAAGACTGCTGGGACTTGTCCTGCCCTCAGAAAAAGCAGGCAGCATGGCCCCTCTCCTCCCAGGTTTGAAGGGGCTCCACCAGCCCACTGCCACCCACCGTGTGTGGGTCATTCATCTCCCCCTGCACAGCCAGG